GAGTCTCGGGATTAGGCAGTTAGGAAGCAGATTGGAGGTTTATTAACGTTATCTTGATATAGGCTTAAGTACAAGGCTTAAGAAAAAGAGTCTGCCCAAAGAAAGAGCTGCAAATGTAAGATGTGCCCAAGTGTGGGTACAGATTCCTCAAGGGAGAACGGGCGATTCTCGATGCCAGCTGTATACACCATTCTGGTGGCTTATAGACTGCATCTGGACAGGTTGCTGAGAAACCTTTATTTTTCCTTCTCGCTCGCTCGTTTTGATGAGTGGATAAATGAGGCAGCTCTGAAGAACCCTTGGATGGAGTTATTATGGTCTGATGAAGTGAAAGCAGGAGCCACAGGGTTGCAGAGTCTGGTGAGAGTCCTTGGCATTGCAGGTTCATGGCCGGGAAGGGAGAAAAGCCACATGCAGTGCGGAGCATTGATCTGCCTCTGCACATTCCTGGGGCACAGGTTCCAGCCCCCTTTTGGCCCCAAGACTTTTCCTGTTTCAGAACCAGCCCTGGTGACACACACCTAGAAACTCAGCACATGGAGATTGAGGAAGGAGAATCAAGAATTTGAGGGTAGTCTGGGTTACATAGGGAGTCACCCAGACTCAGATAGAAAAGAAAATCTGTAATCTCGATGTTAGGGTCATAAAAGTTTTGAGACACTGGGATGAATTAGCCTGATTTGTTAAATTGTGAGATCCAGAGATGTTAACAGGGGGCACTGTATGTGAAAACTAAGCCCATGATAGGTAACCCTTCTTAACTGGAATGTCCAGTTGATCTGCAGAGACTGGAGCAGTGTTGTAATGCAGAAAGATCCGGTGGCCCTGTCCCCACCCTCAGTGTGGGAGGAGCTAAGGAGCAGATGCTTTGTATGCTGGCACAACCTAGTATCACACCTGTTTCCAAGACATTGCATCTGCTTGGGGCAAAACCTGAGAAGCAGAAGCTAAATCAAAAGGCCTGTGAGCAGCCACACACGCTAATGATTCCATAGCGATGTCAGTCACTCAGCGCTTGTTTTGTCTTCAGCGCCTTTAGCACTTTAGCAGCAGACTGGAAGGGGTGAGGGGATCAGAGGACTCTCTGTAGGTGACTAGTTGGCCAAAAAAAAAAAAAAAGAATTTTGCTTTGCTTCCTTTTTTTCTTAGAAAGCTGGGATTAGTTGATTTCAGAAAGTTACCCATTCGTAATAACTAAACCTCACTGATACCTAAATAGATTTGTAATACAGAATTATACCTGTGTTTCTAATAATTCTACTTAGTGTCTGTGAAACTTGCAGGTAATGCAGCCTCTAGTAGAGTAAATTTAAATGTAGAGCATCCTACTAACTTGAATATCCAAAATTTTTGGTTTTGCTGTCTTTAAAGCATGTTGCTAACCTGGGGATAATGCTAATTTCTTTTTTAAAATCATAGTTGAAAACATGAAATACCTTGGAGTGTATAGATTTGAGCATTGGTGACCAGAACAGGAGCTTTGTGCTTACAAGGATGCCATGGTGCTGTGAAGGTATTCCAGGTGGCTGTGAGCTGTACCTGGACGTCTGCTCTTAGGTTTAGTGAAATTACAGTTAGAAGATAGAGCTCACTAGGGGAGGTTTTCTCCAGGACCCTCTCCTTAGTGAGCAGCTGCTGGGGGAGGGAGAATCAGCGCGCAGTCTTACGCAGTCTTACTCATAGGTCGTGGAGGTCTCTCTGGTAGGTCTCTCCTGCTTCTGTGGGTGCCTCACACCCCTACACATATGGGCAGCACTGGTAGAGCCCAGAGGGAATGTGGGTGGGGAAGAAAATGCATAGTAGATGTAACCATGTTTCATTGCATATGTGTGTATGGTTCAAGATTAACAAAAATAAAAAACAATGTCTGATGGTAGGAAGTTTACATGCCGTAAAGACTGGATGTGTGTGGGGTGATGGGCTAGATGGATGGGTTTGATGCCTAGCTGCTGTACCCTGTGCTAATGAAAAGTTCTGTGCAACGTTTGTTTTAGGGCTGTCTCTATGAATTAGGTAGAGGTATGGTGGTATCGTGATTATTTTTACTGTGAGTCCCAGAGCACTTTGAGAAATGGTCATCTAGAGAGCTGGTGAGGTGGACAGGAGTTAGACAGCCTGTGTGCTGACCTAGTTAGTGGAGGTCTAACTTGGGCAAGCTGTGTAAGCATTCTGAGCATCCAGTCTCATCAGGAGACTGGGTACAATGTAACACGCCCTTTGTATTTTATCAGGAGATTGGGTACAATGTAGCATGCCCTTTGTACCTTTCAGATGATCGTGAGGACCCAAAGTGACAAAGTATAAGGAGTCATTTGTACTTATTAAGGATTTTTTACTAAACAGTTCCTACAAGGTGCTGTGCTGGGTGTAACATTTGCCTGGAAGGGCACACGAGTCCCTGCATGGCTGGGAGACACGTGCTTCCACTATTGTGATACTGTGCATAGGAGTTTTTGTGTGCGTGTAGGGGAGTGTTTGCGAGGAGGGTTAGGGCAGCGCCCAAGGAGCCTCTGATGGGGGATGAAGAGCCGAGGACTGTGGACCGGGACCAACCCTGACCATTCCCCAAGTTACTGTTCATTTTCACACAGTACTAGTGCTGCCTAGCCTGGAGACTCCACGTCCTGTAGGTCAGCAGTCTGGCTCTGTTTTACGGCTGTCAAGGTATTGTCCATGTTGGCTTCTTACCTGCCATGTCCATGTGGTTATGGTAGAGGTCAGTCAGTGCTTGGAGGTCTCGGTCACTTTGAGGGCTGTTGAAGAGGTCTCTTTGCTAGAGACTGCCAGCACTTGCCATGTGTCCCTGTAGGCATTTTGCTTTTATTTAGCACAGCAAGAGTGTACTCCTTTAGCCTCAGTCTCTGTCCTGTAGGCCCACATTTGAAGGGCTTATGTGACTACGTTAAACTTACGTGGGTAGTTGTTTTTGTCCTTAGTTTAGAACAGTTCATTTTCAGCTAAAACCATGTTTTCAGATCCCTCCCCCCCACCTTCATCTATGGTAAAACAGTTGTGAGAGTAACATGTCATCCACAGGGCAAGAGTCTTGTGGGATCTACTGAAATGCTAGGTGGATCGTGCCCCCCCCAACCCCCCCCCACCAGTGTTTCTCTGTGTAAAAGTACTGGCTGTCCTGGAATTTGCTTTGTAGACCAGGCTGACCTCAGAGTCACAGAGATCCACCTGCCTCTGCCTCCAGAGTGCTGGCATAAAAGGCATGCGCTGCCACCATAACCTGTCTGGACTGGTTTTTCTTATAGTGAAGTTGAAGCCTCTGGTCAGCTACTAAGAACTTGGCAGGGAATGAAATAGGAATGTGAGCCTGGATAATACGCGCACGCGCACACAAACCAGGGCCTTTCCCATGTTAGGCAAATGCTCTTCCACTGAGCTGTCTCCAAGCTCTAAATTCATACCTGTCTAAGGGTGAGAGCCCATTAAAGATCTGTGCCCCAGGAGAGTGCCGCCTCTCTCTCATTCCTCTCCTTGCTCCAGAGAAGAGCAGTGAACCCTGAGTCTGGATGTTGCCAGGTGCTAACCTACTCTTCTGGGCACAGGGTGTTTCAGAGCTCACTCTTCATCTTTATATACTTCTTAAGTCACAGTTTCTGGAAGGCTCTTTAGCCTGGGCTGATTACTACCTCCTGGGTTCTTAAAAATGTTCAGCTACTCACACCAGGCACCAGCATGACCTCTCCCACTGCTCTGTGCTCCCTTGCAGTTTCCAGCTCTGTTCCTATGCTTCCCAAAGGGTGACCTTTAACTTTGTAAGTCTATTTTCTTACGTGTGACTCAGTCCCACGTGGGTGTGTCTGATTGCCAGATCTCAAGTTGCCTATTGCATATAAAGAGAGGACTGGGCTAGTAAGTTTTTAAGGTTGAACTTAGGCTGTTTATTAAGTTATTGAGCTTAGGTATACGTGTCCTTGTCACTTAAACTCACTCTACACTCTGCCTTTGACATAAACATCATTTCCATTAAGAGGCTAGCATTTGTATCTTTCCCAGAGTGGATGGCCAATTATTTCTACACTGTTTACTCAACATCTGCCGGATGTGAAGTTTAATGTATGTCTGTTTGTTTTTCTTTGTGTGTGTGTGTAGTGTTTGTATGTGTATGATGCTCAAAGAGTTCCATTTGTCCACTTGTTCTCTGGTGTGGCGAGTTCAGAGGTGATATTTTCTTACAAGTACAGAGGAGTCTTCATGTTCTGGTTTTTGCACTTTCAGGGCTGTTTTTAGCTCACATTAGAGTAGACTTTGGATGCCAGGGTTAGTATTTGGGCTCTTTGTTCTACATTGAGGATTCAAGTAGTCCTGTTGTTCTTAGCATCTCAGTGTCCAGCTGTGCAAAGAAAGTTGGGACATTGTACTGAATGTTTCAGGGACTTTAAAGTTGAAATTGACAACCTTTTTGTTTCTTTGGTTTTAAATTTTCAAGACAGGCTTTCTCTGTACCCTTGGCTGTCCTGGAACTCCCTCTGTAGACCAGTCTGGCCTCAGAGTCACAGAGATCCACCTGCTGCCTCTGCCTCCTGAGTGCTGGGATTAAAGGTGTATGCCATCACCATCTGGCTCAACCTTTCTGTTTTGTTTTGAATGAACTTAAAATTTTGAATCATTTTGTTTTACAGAAAATGGCAAAGATAGTACAATTTTTTGTATACTCTTTACTTGACCTCAGTTTCCCCCAATAGTATCATCCTAAATATAATCACAGCCTTATCTTATTATATATATATTTGCTAAAATTGACTGTCAGGTCAAGGACCTCGTGGGTAGCTAAGTTGATTTTATTGTAATATTCTTTCCTGCTTATTATGTCCCTTTCCTTTTTTTTTTTTTTTTTTTTTTTTTTTTTTTTTTTTGATTCCTGGGCATGAAGTGAGAAAAGAACTGCTCAAGAATAATGTAATAAAAAAAAGAAAGAGTGATAAAATATAATAAGCCAATATAAAACAAAAGAATAATGTACTAGTTAGTGCTGTCTTTTAATTTGTACAATAATTTTTCAATGTAGGCTTCCTCCAGCTCTTCAACACCAACAAGGATTAGAAGCAGGACATCTTCATTTACAGAGCAGCTTGATGACGTGACACCAAACAGAGAGGTTAGTGTGGCATTCTCATACTCTTCTCATAGGAACTTAAACCAATGCTGATGATGGGGACACTATGGGAAACAATTTTGACAAACCTGTTATTCAATTCCTAGGTATTATATTTATTAATAATTCAACTGGTCTTTTTCTTTTTTTAAATACAGTTAACTCTTGTAAACTGTTATAGAAAAATAATTTGAGGATAGATATGCTTTTTTAACGTTTGGAAGCTATTAGAATAATTCAGCAATGTTTTGTTCAAATATGAGGAAAAGCCCTCTATTCAAGCTGGTGGTTAGAAACTGAAAACTAACAACCAGTTCCATATAGCTAGCAGCTGGCATGAAAACCAATCGTTTCTCTTCCTTTTTTTCCTGTGAAGTATAACAAATATAGGATGATATTAAGGGGACTGAAGAAATGGCTCAGTCAGGAGCATTTGCTGTTCTTACACAGGACCCAGATTCATTTCCAGCCAGGCGGTGGTGGTGCACGCCTTTAATCCCAGCACTTGGGAGGCAGAGGCGGGCTGATGTCTGGTTTGAGACCAGCCTGGTCTACAAGAGCTAGTTCCAGGACAGCCTCCAAAGCCACAGAAAAACCCTGTCTCGAAACCTCCCCCCACCAAAAAAGAGGACAGATTCATTTCCAAGCAACCACATGGGTATGCATACTGCCTATAACTCCAGTTCTGGGGGTTCTCCAGAGGGTGATGAATCTGCTGCATCTGTAGTTACAGGCAGTTGTGGGTATGTGGTCCCAAGTGGAGGGATCAAAGGCATGAGCTCTATTACTCTTTATTCTTGTGTCGGCCAGGGTGGCCTTGAACTCAGAGAGATCCATCTACCTGTCTTCTGAGTTCTGGAATTAAAAGTGTGTACTACTGCCACCTACCTCTATGGCTACTGGGATTAAAGGTGTGTATCACCACTGCCTGACCTCTATAGCTTGTGTCTGACTTTGCATCCTGAACCCTCAGGTAAGCTTTATCAAATCATAAATAATATATCACCACAAGGAAAAATGGGTGAATTCAGAAAAAATAGTGACTACCCCATCGTAGAAAGACACAGTTGTAGAAGGCATGGCATGCATGAGACTCACTGGATAGGCTGAAATCCTTCAAGGTAGCCAAGAGGCTTCAGATGGTTTGTTGACGTGAATTCCGGAGCATCACTACACTCAGTGTTGGTGCCATGATGACTCTGCTGTGGACCATGTGGGTGCTGGGAATTGAACTCAGGACCTCTGGAAGAGCAGCCAATTCTCCTAACCTCTGAGACATCTCTCCAGCCTCGGGTGGTACTCTCTTAAAACCTCACATATACTCCCTTTTAAACTTGTAATTTTTTTTTTTTTTTTACTTGCATGGGTAATAATGTTTTTCCTTTAAAAAAATTAACTTGGAAGCTAAGAGAAGTGAATCTGTCTAGCTTTCAACTTAAAGTTAACATTTATTAAAAGAATGGCATTTCTGAGAGCCCCAGAGTCAGATTTTCAGTAAGTTTGGATGGGATTCTTAGAGCTAGGCAGGCATTTAGCATAGTTTAATGTATGATTGGTAATAACATTTAGACTTTAGTATAGGAAGTTCTTAGATTCCATCCCAGGAGCTCTAATCATCAATATTACAAAAAGAGCTTTAAAAAAAACCTGTATCCTGGGTTTGGGAGATGGCTCAGTTGGCAAAATGCTTGTTGTATAAGCATGAAGACTCAAGTTTGGATCCCCAGAGCCCATGTAAGAAGCCAGGTGTGATGATGTGTACATGTCATCCCTGAGTTGAGGAAGCAGAGGCTGAAGGATCCCTGGAGCTTGCTAGCTGGCCACTCTTGCAAGATTGGTGAGTTTCAGTTTCAGTGAGAGACTGTAAGGTTGACCAGGCTGGACAGATGGCCTCAGCGGTTAAGAACACTGGCTGCTCTTCCAGAGGACCCGGGTTTAATTTCCATCTCCCACGTGGTGGCTCACAACTGTCTGTAACTCCAGTTCAAGGGGACCTGACACCCTCACACAGACATGCATGCAGGCAAAACACCAATGCACATAAAAATTAATAAATATTTAAGAAAGAAAAGTTTGAGAGCAATAAAGGGAGACACTCAACATGAATTTCTGGTCTCATTTACCCACATGCTTACATGCATACACACACCAAAGTGCATAGGCATCGTTTTTAAAAATTGTTTCATTTTATTTTGTCTTAGCCTGGCATAGTGACACCTAACTAATCCAGTTAGGGGGAGAACAAGAGTCAGGAGAGTCAATGATTCAAAGTCATCCTTGCTACATAAGAAGCTTGAGGTCACCTACATGGTTGCCTGTTTTTTTGTTTGTTTGCTTGTTTTTTTATTGTTATTTCTTTGTTTTTCGAGACAGGGTTTCTCTGTAGCCTTGGCTGTCCTGGAACTTGTTCTGTAGACCAGGCTGGCCTTGAACTCACAGAGATCCACCTGTCTCTGCCTCCGGAGTACTAGGATCAAAGGTGTGTGCCACCACTACCCAGCGAGGGCCTGTTTTAAAACACCATCTAGACCAAATAAACCAAAAAATTTGCCTGTCTATAATTAGGATGTCTCTAGTATAGTGCTGGGTAAAGAGCTGGTGAATACTGTAGTCAGTATCTGTAGCCTTAAAGTCCTGAGGGAAAAGTGAATTTTTTTTTTAAATTTTGATTTTATGAGACAGGGTTTCTCTGTGTAGATTTGGCTGTCCTGGAACTCATTCAGTAGACTAGGCTGTCCTCGAACTCAGAGATCTGCCTTCCTCTGTCTTTTGTGTGCTGGGATTAAAGGCGTGTATCACCAACACCTGCTAATGTTTTTAAACTTTTGCACATACTTCTTTTCAGACATGTCCTTTACAGGATATATAATTTGTTGTATATTATATGTACTGCATTATATAGTATATTATATACCATAGAGTATGTTATACTTCATTATATAATTTTTCTTAAAACAACTGCTGTCAATATTTTATTGGATTAATTGTTTTTAGCATTTTCATTTTGCAATAATTTGATATGCATAGTAGATTATAAAGGACTAGGGGGAGCTTGTGTACCCTCTCTCTAAATAGCAACATCCTGTGTAATTATACCGTTGTAACTATAAAACAGTTACCAGTGAGAAATCTGTGATACCCATGGAGCTCCTATTCAAATCTCTCCTGTCTTACATGCACTGAACTTGTGTGCTTGTATATTTGTTAGTAATATGTGCAGTTTCACTCATGAGTAGGCATGCAGTCTCTGTTATTGAGGGGGTGGTCTGGGGCGGTAGCTCAGTGGGGACAGCACTTGCTCTATAAGTGTGAGGACTGTAGTTTAGATCCCCAGGACCTACACAAAAGCCAGACAAGTGTGGGAGCAGCCTGTGATTCTAGCCCTTGTCATACAAAGGTAGGATCCCTGTGGCAAGCTGGCTAGCTGTAGACTAGCAGGGAGAGATCCTGCTTCAATAGGTAAAGTGGAGAGCAGTCAGGAAAGACAACTGATGTTAACATACACATGCAAAATAAATCATTTTAAATAAGATATATATATACCCAATTCATGATTGTTTCCATTTTGGTGTAACAGCTTCTGGAAGAAAAAGAAAGCACAAAAGAATATGTATCCAGAGAACTAGTGTCAATAGATTTTGTTTATTTTACACTTTTCTTATGTGTGTACTTTTTTTGGCGGGGAGGGTTTGAGACAGGGTTTCTCTGTGTAGCCCTCTGCCTCCTGAGTGCTAGGATTAAAGGCATGTGCTACCACTGCTCAGCTCTTATGTATGTACTTTTGGTAAAAGTAATTCTGCATATAAGTATTAATAAAGGCTTTTTGTGTTTTATTATTTGTGTATACTTCAGTGCTGTCTTTTTAAGTATCTAAAGAATTCATCTCAGGCACCTGCTTCGGCAGCACATATACTAAAACTGGAACAATACAGAGAAGATTAGCATGGTCCCTGTGCAAGGATGACACACAGATTCGTGAAGTGTTCCATATTAAAAAAAAAAAGAGAGAGAGAAAAAAAGAATTCATCTTAGTGTTTATGAAAGTTACGCTAAAGTTTTGTTTACATTTATCTTCAAGCCCACTTTACTGAGATATGGTTAACATGAAAGTTTTCTGTTTTTGGTGTATGTAACTCAGTGAGTGAGGATGAGTGCAGATCTGTGAAGTTTGCAGTGTTGGGCTGTAGCTGTGCCCTATACCTGCCCACCACCTCCTCAAGTGTCCTACTGTCATGATTTTGCTGCTGCTGCTGCTGCTGAGGAGGAGGAGGATGGTGTCCGGTCAGAAGAGCTAATGTGACGTCTCAGATGTAGCCTCCTAGGAAAGTTTAAGTATACAGTCTGTTAGCTCTGGGCATTATCTTGAGAGTCTTCATTGCTTGTCACCGGAACTTTGCACTTCTGTGCATTTTTTTAAATATTGGAATACCAAGTTGCCAGATATACTGGGTACTATGATGCCTGCTGCAGACATGTGTAAGCCAGTTAGCAAGTCATCCTAAACTCACTGGTTCATCCCATTCCTGATCTTTCCCAGCAACTTACTGTTTCTTTTTTGGGAGACGGGGTGATTATCATGAGTGGCTGCAGTATTACAAATGTTGTAGTATAGTGCTGTGAGATAGATTATTTTGGAACATGCCATGATTTGTATTCATCGTTTGTCTTGTTTTTATACCTCTGCTTATTACACTGACTGAGACAGGTACTAGCCGGGATGGTAGCAGAACCTGCCTTTCTCTCTGAGTATACTATCTTTGCTTTGGATTCCTCCAAACAGCCTAAAACACAGATTGGCAGTGTGGTGAGTCCTTCCACTGCTTTTTGCATTCCCTTGTGGGGAAGCAAAACATTTGGGTAGTTGTAGCCGCAAGTCTCATGTGGTTTATCACTTGCTTTCCCTCGTAGTGTCTTCAGTGTCGTGTTGCTAACCCTGCTCTAAATCTTCGAGAACAAGTTACTGAGTCTGGCTACTAGCTGCTTCCTGGGACTCTAACAGCATCACAGTAACATCCCCCTTCCCACTAATGTAGCGAAGGCCACCTTCACTCGTCAGAACTAGCGCTTATGTTTTATCCTTTGGAAATGTTTGCTTATACCGAAAAAGCCAGTATGGGTGATTAGAAATCTGTTTTACTGTTAGGAAGAAGCAAAGAGTGTTTGAAATGAGACTGATTTTTTAAGGGAAATCATGCATTCATTATGTAAGTCAATAATTAACAACATTGCATAGGCAGGTGGATTCTATCACAGCATGCTCATGTCTTTATTTTGAAACGATAGTTAAGAGTAAGTGTATTGTTTTATAATTACTAGTTCTTAAGTGTGAAAGGAAACAGCTGTCTCATTTAAAAAATGAATGAATTCACTTAGTTTTAACTTTATATGTGATTTATTTTGGGAAAGTAGACATTTTTCTATTTGGAGTATCTGGTAACTTGATGATTTAATAAACTAAAATGTAGCAGAGTTTACTTCTCTGCCTTTAAGTTCCCTTGGAGGATGGCTGAACTGGGTTTGCAGTTTTTCCAAATGTTGAGAATTAGTTTAATTTGATAGCTAGTGGCTAGAGACAGAACATTTGTTCTTAAGCCAGATGGCCAGTGAAGTCTTGGTGTGCATAAAGATGACAGTGGTCTTTGGTTTTACTCTAAACTTGGGTCTAGAGAAGAAAGCGGCTCAGGGTGACGACGGGATGGCAAGGGACATTTGGAAAACTGCTTTCCCTCTGTCTCTGGCTATAAGGAACACTTATTGTTTATAAAGATATTTGGGGCAGAGTCAGGAATCCCAGATACACAGACTACCAGTTTACTTAAAAAAAAAAAAAAAAAAAAAAAAAGACATGCTATATTGTGCATATAGGAGTAATAGAAACTTAAAAGATATGATAAAATAATTTCTTTTCAGTTCCTAGTCTGTTGTCAAATATGCTACAAGGTAAAAATGCTTTAAATTATTTAAAAATAAACTTAAGTAAACTAAAAAAAAACCTAATCATATACATTTTATATGTTCATGATTAAAAACGTACGTCTTCATGAGAAAGGGAAACTACAGAATAATTATTTGGTATCATAATAAAAACTTAGTGTGGATTAATTACAAGTTTATCAAATGCTGAGTTTTCCCTAATTTAGTTTTTTTTTTTAAAGGTTTTTATCAGGGGAGGCAGATATCACTATCATTAGCTCTGGCTGTCCTGGAACTTGCTATGTGAACCATGCTGGCCTCAAACTCAGAGATCCACCTGCCTTCCAGTTGCCAGTGTAAAAAGTATGTGCTATGCTGCCAGGGCTTAATTTAATTTTGGAAAACATTTTTCTTTCTGTACTTTTAAAAATAACTGTCTCCTTAGTGCTCAGCAGTCAAAAAAGTGACTATAGAAATATTGAAACAGGTGTAATTAGAAAAGATTGTAGAAAAAATGGAAAGAATATATTTGAAGACAAATTTGGCAAAAAAGAGAAGCTGTAGGAAAATCAGCTGAATGGATTTTTCTGTTGTTCAATTATTGCCCTCAGTTGGTGACCCTGGTCATCAGCATATGTTGAGCGAGTGCTTCCTGCTTCTCTGGAAGACTTTGAGAGTTCCTGTGTGAAGGAAGTGCCCAGGCAAGGATTTAACAATGGTTCATTAAGTGCCTTCTCCTAGGCAAAATGTCAGGTACTGGGCGCCAGGATGGGAATATTGGTGTGCCTGCCCTCTGAGAGCTGATGGGTTAGTGTGGAGACAAAGATGTCAATGTGTATGTTTACACAAAAGAATCCCAGCGTTGCAGGAGAAAATAAGCAGCGTACAGGAGGTGTTGGGTCTGCAGATGACAGGGATTGCAAAAGCTGAAAATGGAACAAGGCAGAAAGGAGGACTCTACAGATAGTGGCAGAAACCTCAAGCTTTGCTTCTAGAGAGCCCTGATTTAGATTCACACAGTCTACTAGGCCAGTGTGCTCCCTAGCTATACTGTACTTGCTTGCTGTATAATACAGAATTTACGTTTAAAAGTATTTTCGAGGCTGGCCATGCATATGCATGCCTGTAATCTCAGCACTCAGGAAGTGAAGGAAGGAAAGAAAATCAGGAGTTCAAGGCCAGCCTTGGCAACTTAGTTAATTTAAAACTTTAGACTACGGAAGACCCTGTCTCAAAACAAACAAGAAGTCTAAAGAGAAGAAAGCTTTAAATATGGTTTTAAATCTTGTGTGCTGTGGGCTTGGTGGAGCAGCTTCCTCCCATGGACCACGGTTGTGTGTCAGGTCATTCATTGCCTTCAAGAAGAATATGGACCTGGCTTTCCCTCTTTCTCCTGACCTAGCTTATGGAGCTCTCTGAGGCCTTCTTCTCAATTTCAAGTGTATTCCTAGCCTTCCAGTGTATTATCATGATGTTATGTAGATAATGTGGCCTGTGCAGCATTACCTGTGATTGAAGTGGTTGTGATCAGGAAGGCTCGTTAATTCCAATGCTCTCCCAACCTTTTTTTTTCTATGTAACTTAAAAAAAATTAAGAACCTATTTTAGAGGGAAGCGAAGGTGCTTAAAAGGTTTGATGCAGGAAAACTTGAAGCATATCATAGATAATAATAATGTGACTATTCCCCTCACCACATGCCTGTTACCCACTGCTAACAATATGTAGCTCATATCCATCCTTTGGGATGCTACCATCTGTTCTCACACATGGTCACTTTGTTTCCAACCTCCACACACGCTGGTTCCTCACTGTGGATGTCTCCAGGAAAGTAAATCCTACACTAGGATGGTAGTGCACCTGTGTAACTCAGGACTGAAAAACCGAGGCGGGAGGGCCTCCTCCGAGCTTAGGACTTTAAAAGACCAGTCTGGGCAACTTAACAAGAATGCCAAGGAAATCCTCCATTTGTAAATATTTTGCTTTCTTTCCTGAAAAATAAGGCTAAATTATATTACACAATAAATTTATAATACCCAAAGATTACTTTGTTATTAATAAATACCTAATTTACCTTGAGGAACTTGAGAATACTCTTGACAAGCTACCCATTTCTCTTTGATCTTTCTTTGGGTAAGCTGTAAAGGAAGAGGAAGTGTAGCATGTAATTGCTGGGCTACTGGGACAGTGACCAGTGTTGTATGTGTGGGGTGCCATGCTGCTGTGTAAAGCAGGGAGGCGGTTTTCCTAGGGGGCTTCTGTAGTGTGGTGAATCACAGAGGCAGTGCTCCGGGCATGCTTACCGAGTTCTCAATCTCAGAATCCTGAGCTTTGTCTGTGCAAGCCATGCCATCCGCTAACCAGTGACTCTCCCTGGGAGCACTGGGCTCACCAACAGAAGAAAACAAAAGCCAGTGCCTGTGGAAGAAGTTTCCAGTAGAACATTTTTCCCAAAGTGTTTACACTGGCTTCATTTACATTGCTGGCTTAGAATGAATGAAGCATTTCAATTTCTTATTACCAAGTTGTTGTTTTTTTTAATAGCTTTGCCCAAATAATTTTAATTTGAATGTGATTTTACTGTAGGGAGCAGGTGACATGACTTCTTTTTGGATAGTTTTCTATTGGGAGTGAGCTATGCTGACCAAGTCCCTGTTGGTGGGTTTTGTTATGGGGACAAAACCAGTGTTGTAAGGGGAAGAGGTTTGTGATTAGTTTGAAATACACTTGCTACACACTAATCTTTATGATTTAGTTTCATGTTCTACAGCAAAGTCATTTTTCTAAAATACTTAACCACACTACTTTTGCTTGCATGAAAATGTTCTAATAAACAATTACTAATTTTGTTCAATAGATAAAAGCATCTGCTAGGTTTTACTTAATATTTTGTCTTAAAAGCTTTAAAACTTTAGTTTTCTGTTCTTTTTTTTTTTTAATGATGTTCTTTCTTGTTCTTAGAATGTATCAACACAAGCTACAAAATCTCCAGATGGTGTTAATAGAAGTGAAGCATCCCCTCCTCAGGTTGGTTACTAATTTATTTAAAGATGTAAGTCCTTTCAGATTGTTGGCCTGTTTGTTTTTACTAGTATGTGGCTGTGTTTGCAGACAAAGTGGCTCATCAGGTAAAGGTGCTTGCCACTAGGCCTGATGACTGACCCACTGGTGCCGGGAGGGATCTGACTCTGCAAGTTGTCCTCTGATTTATATGTTCTATTTCCTAATATGCACAAATAAATTAGTGGATATAATAAAAATTTTAAAATTCCCTAGAATCAGAAATAATTAATAAAAGCCTTTGGCTCCCTTCTGGTCCCTTCCCTCTTCCTCAGAGGTGATCACCGTTCTTGCTCCTAGCACTGCAAGTTAATTTTATTGTTTTGACCTTTATAAAAGTGTCTGGTTTCCTGCCTGCCTGCCTATTTATCTATTCATCTTTCTCATTTTCATTTGCTACCATGCAACACCACTACTACTATCATGCTAAGAAAATTGTAACTCCAGAGGATCCAACATTCTCACACAGACACGCATGCAGGCAAAATACCAGTGCACATAAGATAAACCATTAAAAATATTATAACTCATAACAGTAGCAAAGTTATAGTTATGAAGTAGCAACATGAGGAACTGTATTAAAGGGCCACAGCATTAGGAAGGTTGAGGACCGCTGCTCTAGATAGTTTTACATCTCACCTTGACTGGTCTAAAACTTCTGTGTAAGCCAGGCTGGCTTCAAACTAGCAGTGGCCCTGCCCCTGCCTCTGGAGAGCTGAAGTCACAGTGTGAGCCCAGCATGGCTGGCAGCTTTTGTTTCATACCCCATGATATTGATTTGTATTGTTGCTATGATTTCAAACCATTTTCATTGCTTTCTAGTATTCCAGAGGTAAACAGGATTGTTGGCTGCTATTCCACTGGTGAACAAGACAGTTAAACCGAAATTCTATTGACTAGGCTAATTTGATTTAGGGTCTTTGTGAATTGTGTCTTTTGCCGGCCGTATTTGCACCTCTCTGCTGGTGCATGTGTTCAGAATGGAATTGCTAGTGCAGAGGGTGATTCTGTGTAGCAGCAGCCACAGCTGGCAGTCTGCATGGGTTGCCTCACATCCCCACACTGTGTGTCACCGTAGTTTTAATTAACCGTTTTCTGGACTGGGTGGGGTTTGGGTGGTTTGCACCTTAATGGGTTTAAATCTGTGTCTTAGAAGCTGAACATTTTAGTCTGGTTGTGTTCTTGCTCTCAAACTCTGGCTGTGGTAGGAAGGAAGAAGGAAAGGTTGGATTGTAACTTGATAAATAAAAGACCCAGAGACAGATACTGGGGTTCAAGCTTTGTGAAGATCAGAAAAGCAAACAAGCCAGACACTAGGTCTTACCTCTGCCTCAGCTCACACCAAGGAGCAATCCTCTAACTGCTCCTGACTTCACTGCTCCTCAGATTCACTCAGACTGTTGTGCTCTCCTCAACATGGCTAGAGACTAAATCTCTACATGAGACCCTTTGCTTTTTATACCCCTAGTGCTGGGATTAAAGGCATATTATCCCAAGTGCTGAGATCATCTTTGTGTGAGCTGTTTCTTTTTAGGACTGGATCAATCTTGTGTAGATCTGGGTGGCCTTGGACTCACAGAGATCCATCTATCTCCTAATCATGAGTACTGGGATTCAAGGTGTGTACCATCATTGCCTGATCTCTATAGCTTGAGGCTGGCTTTGCTTTCTGAATCCTCAAGCAAGGTTTAATAAATCATAAATAATATATCACCACACTGGATGTCATGTGAAAGTTGTACCTGCTGTGGGTGAGCCTACATTCTTAATACCCACCCACCTCATGACAAGGGTGCTGCTGGCTTCATCTTATATAGGTAGAGACAGGCAGAAAGAGGTTGTGTCACTTCTTCAAAGTCATTTACCTACTGTGGCAGAGCTAAGCCAGGCCCCTAGCAAATGCCCTTAGTTCTTGTAACCAGAAGAGTGCATGCTCTGCGTCCACCGTGCTATGAGCCTCTTATTTCTGCCTTTGCTTTTGTTTGAAGCTGCATCTCTTCCTTTCCCGTCTCTTCATGCTCATTGCTGCTGCCTGTTGTGTTAACTCATTCAGTCTTTGCTGTAGTCGTGCAGAGTAGATGGCGTCATCGTCATCATCGTGCTCTCCACCCCATCTTACAGAGGAGGAGACAGGACTGTCGAGCTTAGTAACTTACTCCAGGTCCTGTAGAACAAGTAGTTGAGACTTGGGCTTTGGTGAAACTGACTCTACCACTGAAGGGATGAGTCACACAACTCTTCAGAAGGCTGAAGCAGAGTGATACACACTTGCCAAGCACGTGTTAGCCCTGTGGTCCTCCCAGCTCCAAAAAATATGCAATGAAAGTTACAGCCCATCATAGTAGATGTGGCAGCTGAGATGATATTGGTCTACAAACACAGACTTTGACATTGTTCATTAGCTGCTGCAGACCCTGAAATCCCAGCTGTTTGTAGTGTTTCTTCCCACGTGCTTCATCTGTCTGTCCCAGGGTCTTTTGTGAGGATGTTGTCATGTGGGCCAGACGATAACTGGTAATGGAATTGCCAGTAAGAGCAGTTTTAAAGATTTTTTACAGGACGCATTCCTTCTCTTCCTTCTGAGCCCTCCATCATGAGGATGAAACTTGTACATTATGGAAACAAACTAAAAGGTGCAGAATAATGTAACACAAAAACTACATCCAACCAAAGTTTTACCATGCGAAGACAGGTTATCTCTGCATGTGTCTGTCCTTTGTGACTGTTCTGATGGCACCTGTGAAAATATACATAGAAATTAAAAAGTACTTAGAAACAAGTCAAAATGAGCTCATGATATGCATTCTATTTTCTTTTTTTTTTTTTTTTTTTTTTTTTTTGGGGGGGGGTTTTTTTTTTTTTTTTTGAGGGAGTGTTTCAAGATAGGGTTTCTCTGTGTAGCCCTGGGCATCCTTGAACTCGATCTATAGACCAGGCTGGCCTCAAACTCAGAGATCCACCTGCTTCTGCCTCCAAAGTGTTGAAGTTAAAGGCATGTGCCACCACCACCCAGCTGCACACTGCTTTCTAGCTTGATATTTATTTATTTATTTATTTATTTATTTATTTAATAATTATATGTATGCATATGGGGGTATGCACTTGGGTGCAGGTGTTTGAGGGGCCTGGAGGCATCAGATTCCCTGAAGCTGGACTTACACAGGTGCTTGTGAGTCACCTGACATGGATGCTGGGAATAGAACCCAGGTCCTCTGAGAGGGCAAGACATGCTCTTACCCACCGAGCCATCTCCCCAGCCCCTGCAGCTTTGGGCCTCTGGGTATACTCTGCAGTGCGCTCTCTGCTGTGGACATTTGAGTGGCTTCCAGGTTATACTACTTACAGACAGCCTGAGTTCGTGGCCCGGGCTCCAGCAGAGCGAGCTGTATGACAGGCCCACTCCACTTCTCCATTCCCCTCCAAGAAGAAGTGGCTCACTAGAGCACACCTTCTCCCTCAGCCCATTCCCCTTTTTGGTGAAAAGAATGATGTGGACCATTAACTCCATGAAGACTCACCAGGTCAGACCCACTTGGGTTGAGCTCCTCACCTCGGACTTCACCCCGAAGCCCACACTTTGGGCACAGCGTGTTATTAAAGGGTCTCCCAGGTGGGTAGATGGGGTCACTGTGGGGTCAGCATGGTAAACGGGCTTCCTTTGTACAGATGTGCAGACTGAAGGACAGTGACTCAGTGACAGCGTGCACTGCTAGGTGACGGGCAGGAGAGTTAGAGCCCAGTTCTCAGACTCCAGATCCAGACATTGCATTTACAGAAATTGGCCAGTGTCTTTCATTTTCACTAAGCAGCGTTTTGTGTTACTTATCTGGGATGCAAATTGAACTTGTTAGAGTTTTTACTAGACCACGCTGGTGACAGGAGAGTAGATGTCTGAGTGCATATTTTAACTCTTGGCTCTGCTGGGCTTTGTTTACAGTCGGGCGACACACAGACCTTTGCACAGAAGCTCCAGCTCCGAGTGCCTTCAGTGGAGTCTCTGTTTCGGAGTCCCATAAAGGAATCTCTGTTCTGGTCTTCTAAAGAGTCTTTAGTGCGAACATCTTCCAGAGAGTCCCTGAGCCAGCTTGACCTGGACTGTCCCGCTGCCACCTTTGACCCACCTTCTGATATGGAGAGCGAGGCTGAAGACGCACCAGGCAGCTCTGACAGCCTCAACAGAGAGCAGTTGCTTCAGCGGTTGCGAAGAATGGAACGAAGCTTAAGTAGTTATCGAGGGAAATATTCAGAGGTAGGAGCAGGCCTTGGTTCACACGGCTCAGACGTTTCCCCCTCGGTTTGTTCTCTCATTCATAGTACTGCATTGCTTTTAGCCTGAGACTGGCTGACCCTGGTCCTGGTTACTGGGGGCAAGTATTGTTGGTGGCAGGACCTAGATAGTCTTTCTGTGTTACTTTTAGCAGACTCTGACATTTTGGAGATTATTGTGCATAGCCTGGTTTTCCCATTCTCTGCAGTGTCCTTCTTGCCCTTGCTTATATATGAGTCTTCCTGCTATGTCACTTCCTGCCTGGATCACCACTTCTTTACTACATTTCCCAGAATCCTCCCTGACTCCTAGTCCCGCCTAACTTGCTGCCTCATTGGCCAAACAGTACTTTATCATCCAATAAGAAACACATACACAGAAGTACTTCAAGTACTTCCCCCATCAATGAACCTTTTTTTTTTTTTTTTTTTTTTTTTGTGGTTTTCTGAGATAGGGTTTTTCTGTGTAACAGCCCTAGCTATCTTGGAACTCGCTCTATAGACCAGGCTGGCCTCAAACTCACAGAGATCCACCTGCCTCTGCCTCCTGAGTGCTGGGATTAAAGGCGTGTGCCACCACTGCCTGGCCTAACACATTAATCTTTAAGAAAATTCATTTTTATGAGCTTAGGTGTTTTGTTTATATGTATATCTGTGTACCACTTATGTGTTGGGTGCACTTGGAGGCCAGAAGAGGATGTCAGAGCCCCTGGAGCTGGGGTTATGATATGGACAGTTGTGAGCTGCCATGTGGATGCAGGGATTTGAACCAGGATAATCTGAAAGAGCATCCAGTGCTCTTAACCACTGAGTCATCTCAATAGCCCTCTAACATGAATCTTACAACTGCTAAATTTTTGGTGACTCGCTCTGTTTGGTGTAAAGGGAGAAATACATAGCGCTTTCCTTATTCATCCATCTATCCATCCCTCCATCCACCTACCTACCTACCTATCTACATATGTAACTATTATTAATAATACATATTATCTATTTCCTTTTTGGTGCTTCAGGAGCGAAAACTGTATGTCTGCTCCCTCCAGTCCCTTTCTGTCCAGTGCAGTTAAGAAACTCTGCTTCAGGAAAGCCTTTGTTGTCCACGGCTCTTGTTTATCATGTTCATTGTGCAACTTTTTAATTGGACATGGCTACTAAATCAATGTCACATTCAGTTTTTCATGAATGGTAAACTTCAGGGTTAGGGTGTAAAGTTAGTTCAAGTTTTATTGTCTGTGTAACTAGTTTACTACCCTTTTTATTAAAACTATAAAATGCTGGCAAAATAGAAAGGAATTTTATGGACCCTGGAAATGTAAATGGGACATTGAAGTCAGGTATCTCTTTTGTAGCTGAGTGTGGAGCTAGGTAATTTTTTTCCTTCAAAAATTTTAAACTATTAGTTTTTTATTTCTGCCTATGTTAATGATGGTCTTAAATCTTTTCATTTGTCTTTATGCTACTGTTATAGATTTATCCATAGTTTTAAATGTCTGAATCTGGGACAACAGTATGATTAGCATTTAAGTATGCCAGATACTGTTTACATTTATAATGGCACTTAATTTTGTACCATCCTTAGGAAGTGAATGTGAGTTTGCTTATTTTTGTAGAAAAGGGATTAGAGATCCACAGAGATTAACTGACTTGCCACGTAGGGTAGCAGTTGATAGATTCTGTATTTGTTTCTCAGTCACTCTGGCTGCTCTCCCATTCTAGGCTGTCTTAGAGTCAAGCAGCTTTTCTGGCATAAAGAGACCCCATAGCCTTTGCCTCTCTCTGCTCTCCCTTGCTGCCCGCCACAGGTATCCGGGATGAAGTAATGCTGTAAGTGACATCTAACTGGAGCTGTTCTTCCTCCCATCCGCCTCCTTTCTGAGTACAATAACCTTCCCAGTCTAGAGTTAATAAGGGGGTCCTGCTCCTAGATCGCTTTTCCCCTACATCTCTGACAGCCTCCTGACCCCAGACTTCAGCAGTGACATTTAGGGGCACATATCATGTTTCCAGGGAAAATGGAAACTCTCAGAGACCATCATGCTTCCCTACAGCTGCTCTGAGCTCGACAGAGGCTGCTGGCTCTGCCAACGGAAGTCCCAGTTGTGCATTGAATGTAGCTGTCAATGTGTAAAACCTACCAGGTTAAAATTAAAAGGTGTCATTCCATTGCTTCATGGGGTTGTGTTGGAATGTTTATCCTGTTCAGCCTAGGGCTTGGGTTAACTCATTTCTATTTGTTAGCTATGCATTTCTTTCCTCAGACATTTTTATTAGTTTGTTTAATAATTTAGTCCAAAACAAAAAAGTCACCTGGAGAGCTTTTAAAACAGATTCCTGTTTCTCCACTGTGTTCCTTAGTTCTCAGTTAGTCAGTTTTGGGTTAGGCCCTGGAATTTGTTTCCCCGAAAACACTTGCACAGTGCTGTTTGTTGTGGATGTACTTAGTCCGTCAATACAATTGGGTACCCTTCCACCTTCAGGCAAGTTGGCTGCAATTCTCACTTGTACCTGTAAATTAGGTGTTGAAATCTGAAGACATACCTGGAGATTCACTGGCTTACAGTAAACTTACAACTTACATTTTAGAAATAGACTTGCTGGGCTGGAGAGATGGCTCAGCTGTTAAAGGCTAGGCTCCAAACCAAAAATGTAAGAAATAGAAATAGACTTCTCACGATACTTAGTTTTGGATTGAATTAGGCTCAGTTGTCTGTATATGACTGTTGTGATTGGTTTTTAACTTTTATAAAGAGAAAAATTTTAGTAGCATTTAGAATAATGAATTGTATTTATTGAGAAATAACTAATATTATTTTGGTGGTTTGTTCGTTTTAGCTCGTCACGGCATATCAGACTCTTCAGAGGGAGAAGAAAAAGTTACAAGTGAGTGATTTATTGACCTTTGTTGAGTTAAATTTGATTTTAAAGTTAGAAAAATTATCATAGGAATATTTACTGTCTTTTGTAAATATTCTGTATAGTTCCAGATTTAACCTGTTTTACCATTCCTAGTGGTGTGATAAAAAAGTGAGTGATGGTGACCCCAGAGATGTTTCCCAAGATAAAGACCACAAGTAGGTATGGCAATCCCAGCAGCAGGATCCTGTTACTGAGCCTGATGCAGTACAGAGCCACATAGTGTGCCTGTACAGAGCAGAGCATGTGGGCATGGGGTCTGCACCAGTCACTGCAGAATTGTGTCTGTGCTAGTCCTGCAAACAGGACTATCACAGCCTCTCAAGAGAATGAAGGGCTGTATATGCGCCAATCTTTTGCTTTCTGCAGGGTCACCAGGGGAAACATTTTCCTTTATGCAAATGACTGTAGGTGATTTTCAGTTCACCAAGTCCTGTATGGGCAAAAAGTCCAGCACAAACTGAAGCCGTTGTGGATAGGACATGGACCTTTGGGAGCCACAGTTGCTTTGGCCCCAGGCTCCCGAGTGTCTACGAAGAGCTGTCTAGCTAACTGCTTGTCTGATAGCCTGTCTCTGACCTGGGGTACCAGGGAATGGTCTAATGCTGCCAATGAGGGAGTGCCATCGCTCCACCTCCAACATTTTAGCTTGTGTAAAAGAATAAATACTAAGGTGTTATAGTAAATGTTTATCGTTAGGCCTAACAGTAGTCTGCAGCATTTAACTTGTGCCCTAGTGCCTCAAGAGGCAGATCCCTCTATGTCACTAAACAGACATTTTGCCTGCCTATATTCACCCCCTCTGCCCCCGTTTGTTGTTAGTCACACAAATCTGAGAAACTGCAAATTACCCCATTTCTTTTGTTTTCCTGAGACAGGGTCTCTGTAACCATTCTCCTGACTCAGCTTCCTGAGTGCTGTGGTTCCAGGCATGTGCCATTACTCTCCTTAGTTCTCCCCCTCTGTGTATTAGTGACAGACAAGTGCAAACAGTTACTGTTTCCATGGGCTGCAATGTGGCATTCATTTCTTGTACTAATAAATGCTTCCAAAGTGTGAGGCATTCATCTTTTAATACATTACTCTTTTAACTTGATTAAAGAATTTAAAAAAGAATTTAATTATTATTTTTATGAGTATGGTGCTTTGCATGCATGTTTGTCTGAGACCATGTATGTGCCTGGTGCCAGCAGGGGCCAGTAGAAGGCCCCCTGAACTGAAGTTATAGATGGCTGTGAGCTCCAAAGTAGGTGCTGAGAATTGAACCTGGGTACTTTGGAAGAACAACTAGTGCTCTTAACCACTGAACCATCTCTCTAGCTCCTTTTTTAGCTAGTTTCTTTTTAATGGATAGTTACTACTTTAGCCACCTGTAATGCTGTTCATAAAAATTAGATTTTTTTTTTTTTTGCTTTTCTTTTCTTTTAATAAAGAGACTAAAACAACAACCATCACCAAATCAGGCAGATGGTAGCCCCAGCATTTTCAAAGCTCCAGCCCAGAAGCCCTATCCCCCCCCCCCCCCCCCACGCCCCCCCCCCCCCAAAGTAGACAAATAAGCAGAGACTTTTGCATTTAAAAAGTCAGTGGTATTCACATTTTCTCATAACAACATCAGAATCTCATTAGCAAAACAATTACTGAAAGAGTTCTTTGGTCCACCACAGAAATTCAGGTGAGAGCCAGGGAGGAGCTCCACATTCTCAGGCTTTCCAGGAGCCGGCTTTCCCCTCCCACAATGTAGTTATTGAGAACTGAACTTGTGGTCAGGATTGGTAGCAAGCACCGTCCTGGGCCAAGCCCTCTCGCCTGCCCTGGAATCTCATGTCTCGGGCCATTTAACTTCATTTCCCCCTCAGAATTTGCTGCAGTATGGGCTATTAGGAACACTTTATTTGGAGTTGTTTAGAGAAGACCTTCATAAAATTAATAACTGTAGACCTCCTAATAATTAAGAGCATTTTGGCCTCACTTGATCAGAGTTCCACATACAGATTCAATTGATTTGTTTCTTTTGGTTTTTTTGAGTTAGTTTCAGGGGAGATTTTATTGGGAGAAAAGTCAGTTACCTATTCTTAAATTACATAACCTTGGCAATTATGCAAAAGACATTTTTTCACTTGTTGCAAGATGCTTTTCTGGGCTGGCTGCTGACCTAAGACATCGGAAGGTAATGATAAGCTGCGTACTGTCCAGTCACGTGGTGGTATATCTGCCTCTCGATGTCTGAGAGCAGAGAACTGGCCCCTATCCGGAAGAGGTCAGGTGTCAGCCACTCCTCCCCCAGCTCCTCCTTTATAAGAGAGAGCCATGCAAGGGACTCCTTTGCGGTGCGGATGCCTCCTGCAGGTTTAAAGTCTACCTTGTTTCCAGTTTTCCAGAAGAAATCTCTAATGGCCCGTAGCATTACGATCGCTACTGGGAAGGTGGCATTTACCGTTTCTTTTCCAGTAGAAGTCTTAATAAAATCTGATCCTGCCATCATTGCTACCAGGCTGGCTTTGTAGACGTTGGTGAGCGGGCTGAGTTCTCCCGTGGCTAAGATGGTTTTGAGATGTGCCTCCCCACAGGCCTTTCGAAACTGACTGATCTCGTCGTAGAGGGCTTCCCACTGGCCAGTCAGCACCAAGGTCCTGTTAATGACCACTTCGATTTCGGTAGCTCCATCCTCCACCTCCAGTCTGATCTCTTCCAGTCTTCAAATGAGTCCGTCCGGCTGGAAAGCCAGTGGCCACTGATGCCACCGGGATGCTTCAGCTTGCGGCCTTCAGCGCCTTCACAGTGTCGCACACCCGGGCAGACGGCCGCTGTGGTGATGCCTTTGTCGTGCATATTTAAAGCTTTTAAGAGGTCTTGCCGGATTGGATATTTGGCTTTGTAGCAGAGCCGTTGAACATTAGAGAACGTGTCATCCCCGGAAAGTGTGGTGAGGTCTATACATGTAACAGCCTTCAGGAGCCACGCAGCCTGCCACTCCTTCTTCACGCTTCTGCGAGCCTGGATCTGTTCTGCCCACCTCAGAACAGCTGCCTGGTTCACTTGAACTCTGGAGATCCAGCTGAGATCGAATTCTGAGCCCCAACAATGAGTGCACAAAGAGAAAACAGTTGATGACCGAAAATTAGATTTTTTTTTGTTTTTGGTTTTTTTTTTTTTTTGAGACAGAGTTTCTCTGTGTGTAGCTCTGGTTGTCCTGGAACTCACTTTGTAGACCAGATTAACCTAGAAAGATGCACCTGCCTCTTCCTCCCGAGAGCTGGGATTAAAGGTGTGCGCCACCACTGCCTGGCAAAATTAGGGTTTTTTTTAAAGAAAAGTTTTATATAAACTTTTACAATATGATAGTGATAATTAACATGGTCTATGAACTTCTAAGTTATAGTAAAATCATTTGCTTCTGAAGTTTGAGTTTACTTTACAGATTTTCTGTTGTTAAAGTTAACATGTGGTTAAGTTTGTAGTTTGACTTCCATGTCTATGCATTTTAGCAAATGTAACCACTGTCATAGCCAGAATTCAGAGTAATTCTGTGCTATCATATTTTAAATTTTAACTGTTATCAGATTTCCTGAATTGACATAGCCTTGCTATTTTTTTTGCATGACTCTGCCACGTAGATGTTTAACCACCCTTTTCCTTTCTTTCCTTTTCTTTCTAATTAAAGGGTATATTGAGTCAGAGTCAAGATAAGTCACTGCGGAGGATCTCAGAATTGAGAGAGGTAAGTTGGTGAGCGACACTTGAGAACAGTGATTTAGCCTCTTAGTGTAGAGCAGAGCGCCACACGCTAGACTGGCCTGACATGTAGTAAGTGAGGCAGGCGAACAGCTAGGCCAGCCTGTGAGCTCACACACTATCTCTTTAGTTTTATTTGTGTGGTTTTCTATGGTAGATGTTGTTGAAATTAATGAAATAGAATATATAAGTCTTCCGTGTGAGTAGTCACTGTCCATTCCCAAGGCTAAATTGTTTCCACTGCTAAATATCCTAGGCTTCTTTTTTTTTCCTAGTCAATGTGGTTTTGTTGAAATAAAGTAACTTGTGATTTGGGAGTGGTAATTCTTGATAGGGTTGGATTGAGCTCCTTCATCTCCCCCTGGGCAGCATTTTATCCAGCAGTGAGCCCACACAGAGGGGGCCTTTTCAGATGCTTCATTGTTGGTCCCCTGCTCCACTGCCATGTCCTGCCTGGAGCCCAGCAATAACAGACTACTGGCGCTTTCTCCATACCTGCTCTAGTGTTGCTGGCATGTCTGATTGCCTGTTTGTGTTGTGAATGTGCTTCATGGGTATCAGTTTGCTACTTGTGCTGTAGCTTTGAAGCAGGTGATTTCAGGACAAATAAGAGTATTTAGAATTTTATGTATTCTGAATAGAATTTTATTTGTGACATGACAGTAGCTGATGGAAGCAGAAGCCGAGACCCACAGCTAAGCACTAAGCTCAACTCCTAGAATCCAGTTGCAGAGAGAGAGGAGTGATGAGCAAAGGGGTCAACACCAGGCTGAGGAAACCCACAGAAACAGCTGACCTGAACAAGGGGTTGCTCATGGACCCCAGACTGATCATTGGGAAACCAGCATAGGATTGAACCAGGCCTCCTGGACATGGATGTCAGTTAGGAGGCCTGGGCAGTCTATGGAGCCTCTGGTAGTGGAACAGTATTTATACCTAGTGCAAAAATGGACTTTGGGAGCCCACTCCACATTGAGGGATACTCTCTCAGCTTAGACACCCGGGGAGGGCATAGGCCGTGCCCCAAATGATGTGACAGACTTTGATGATTCCCCCATGGAATGCCTCACCCTCCCTGGGGTGCAAAGGAGGGATGTTGGGATGAGGGGTTGGTTGGGGCCATGGGAGGGAGAGGGAATTGGGATTGATATTGTAAAATACGATTGTTTCTAATTTAAATAAAAATCTAGAGGAAAAAAAAATAAAAGGAATTTTATTTGTGGAATTTATCAGTCCAAGATACATAGTGTATTAAAAGTACAAATATGTTTAAAGGTGAGCAGATTGGTAAATTTACAAATAGCAATTGCTAGTATAAAACTGGGGATATAGTTTAGTGGTAGAAAAGTGTTGAGAAAGTAGAGGGAAACCTGGAGGGAGGGGGAGAGGAGAAGGGAAAGAGGGAGGGAGAGAGCTTTCTGTCTGTGAGAGGAGGCAGAAGAAAAGCAGGGAGCAAAATCTCCCCTTTGAATGATGGGTGTCACCAAGAACAGCCCTCTTGTTCCTGAGAGCAGTTGTTATTTTTAATGATAAGTTATCCGAATTGGTTGCATATGAATTTCTTGTATCACATCATTTCATTTGTACTGAAACTGTGTTTAATTTCTAGTCTCTTGTTACATTTTATATACATCCAATTATTATTGTTTTGTTCTTTAAAACATTCTAAACATGACTTTGAAAACTGGTTTACTTTTGTTACTTCACCGAGAATAAACATTGACCCTTATCATACAGATAATGGTAGACATTCTCCCTTTGTGAGGTATGTTTTGAACTAATACCCTAGAAGAATCACTTCTCCCTGAAGTGAGGGTGAAGGGACAGAGCTCACCCTAGAATTCCCGAGTCTACGTTACTGGTTTGACTTGGAAGACAGCTTATGCTGGAGAGCGTGGGCTGAGCAGGGTGGGCTGGAGAGAATTCACCTCAAAGCCTTTTCAAGTTACAGGTACCTTTGCTTTTCCTGGAGAGACAAACAATGTCTTTTTTGCTTAATGTATTATTTATTCCCTTTCTTGTGTTTTGAGTAGATGAAGGTCATTAATTGATCCTGTTTGGGGCAAGAAATCCAGTGTCCAGGTTTTATGCATGTAATGATTAGATATCTGTAGCAATGGAGTGCAGACTTGTTTTAAAGTCCAGAGAATGTCCGTTAGAGGAGGGTGCAAGCTTTGAGGGTGTTTGTAATGGTATTTATCTAGAGACACAGAATACTTTTTTTTTTTTTTTTTTTGACCTGCCGCATGTCATTCTGCTAAGGAGTCCCTCACTGAGGGAGCTATCCTCAAGAAAATGGGGCGTGGACCTCTGCTTTATTAATAGATGGGTAAGCACATGTGATATTCCTTTTTGCTACCTTACTAGTAAGATTACTGCACTAGTAATCTTAGTGCAGGGAGGAATACAGGGTACAAGATAGTGCCTTGCTGTTTTGAGAATGAGTCAGTCTGAAACAGTTCAAGAACTGGGGCTATAAGCAGTGGACTAGCGTCCAAAGAGAATTACTGTAGCAGGTCTGTGAGGGACGGATGTGATCAAAGGGGTGTCCGTCTGGGTCGTGTTCACAGTTGTAGAAGAGAGAACCCAGATAGAGAGCGATTAGTAAAAGAATCGGTCATATGCAAGTGTCAACAAAACAACTGAGATATAACTTTGAGTATTTTAAGTTTAGGGGGTTTGGTGTCCTACTAATATATTCCAGATGTTCCTCTCTAACTTTCTAAGAAAGGGAGATTGAGGGAGAAACAGAGAGGATGTACAGCTGTCTTGAAGGAACAGAGAGAGTCAGTAAAGGACAAAGAAGCCTGGAGCTGGGAGGGCACTGGCAATGAGTGGTGCCTAGATCGAGGAGGTCCTTCTTTGCCTGGTGCAGCAGAGATAAACATTGACCTTAAAAAGTCACGTTTGCAGTCATTTCAGGAGCTGGAAGGCTTCTTCTCTGGTGGTCAGCCAGTTAGTTCATCGTCTTGGCTCTGCGGATGGGAGTGCTGTGGTTCAGGCTGTATGGGGAGGGCGCACTTGAGCTCTGTTGCCATGTTGCACTGCAGTCCACACTGCACTTTATCTAAAACCTACTTTTCCCTTGTATTTCCTGTCAATCACTGCAGGCCTTTACAAGAATACTTTTCCTTTGGAGACCTTCATATTGTTTAAGAAACCAAATTATTTACTGATGTTAAGGTTTTAAATACTAAAGTCCTCCACACTGAAGATTCTCTAATTATTCTGTATATGCTATCTTAAGAGTGAGACAAATTTGAAACAGTGATGTTGTAAACTTGAAGTTTGTATCTTCTGTTTTATATTGAAAGCTACCTGTAATTCCTTTTGTATTTTAGGAGCTGCAGATGGACCAGCAAGCAAAGAGACATCTCCAGGAAGAGTTTGATGCTTGTCTGGAGGAGAAAGATCAGTATATCAGTGTCCTCCAGACTCAGGTAAAAGAGCGAGCAAAAGCACAGAAGCCAGTGCTAGATAAACAGGGATTGTAGTCAGATAGCTGAAGAATGTCAAATGTAAAGAGGAAAAAAAAGCCTACTTTCTTCCATTTTAGCACTATATTTTGTTTATTGTATCTTTTGGCTGATTGTGGTATTCCCACTCATGGCACATGCAACAGGCTGTGCTTGGTATAGTAAGCGTATTGTTCTCCCCCCCTCTTTCTTTTTGGTTTTTTGAGATGGTTTGTTCATTTAGTCCTGGCTGTTGGGAAACTCCCTCTGTAGACCAGGCTGGCCTGGACTCAGGAATCTCCCTGCTTCTGCTCTGAGTGTGGGGATTAAAGTTGTGCACCATCATCACCCAGATTCACTCTGTTTCTTACAAATTTTAAATAAAACATTTCTGCCATACCTTTCTTCTACTGCTGATTTCTCTTTTAGGTTTCTCTCCTAAAGCAACGTTTACAAAATGGCCCAATGAGTGCTGACTTAGCGCAGCCACCCCCTCCCTCGGAGCTCCAGGTAGAAGTGGACCCTGACAGAGAGAGGACAGAGGATGTCGGGGAGCCAGTGGGTAAGCTCCGGTTTTGTCAGAGCGTCGTGTAAAAATCAGAGGAGAATGTCAAGAGGGTTCAGGATTTGAACCGATAGACTAGACTGAGGCAGAAGTAAGAAGTAAGGTAGCCTTGACCAATCCTAATGTTTCTTCAAAGATTCAAGTTAAGTTGTTTTAAAAATTTACTTTTTTTTTTTTTTTTTTCCCCCGAGACAGGGTTTTTCTGTGTAAAAGCCCTAGCTGTCCTTGAGCTAGGACAGACATCCGCCTGCCTCTGCCTCCCAAGTGTTGGAATTAAAGGGGGGAAAAAACAACTGATTTAAGACTTGAAAATTGCATAAACTTTAATGAGACCACATTTTTAAATAATTGAAGTACATAAATTATGATACACAATTTCATTTTCTTGAGATGGGGTCCCATTATGTAACCCAGATCACTCAAGTTGTGACTTTTTCTGCCTTAGCTGAAGCTTAGCTGCTTAAAGGTTTTGTCACCACACTTGCTTTATGGCTTTGTTCTCTTACAAAGAGACTCTCAGTAGCCTTTGGTCCACTCAGAGGAAGTAGGTTGCTGAGCAGCCAGCCATCTGAGCAGTGACCCTGCGAAGGGCTTCGGTTCCTCTAGGTGTGAAAATGGACTCATAAATGCAGGATATAAAATCTGTGGTAACCAGAAATCCTTCCAGGAAGAGGGTAGAATGTGGCTAGAAAGAAATCTTAGTAATACTTTTGAGATGGGAAATAGTGGGGGCTTAGGAATGGCAGACTTTTAAGTAGGCTAGATCCAGTAAATGCCAACATTATACCATTCCAGGGTAAGGTTGAACCACTAATGGTACGAATTTATACTTCGCATCTTCAAAAAATATCACACAGTAACTTGAGAGTAGACGTTTGGAAGAGTGCTACTTGGCTTATTGGGGTATCCCTTCTCTTCTTGATTTGTCTGAGAGTGTAGAAGAGGACATTGCAGGGACTGGGTCTGTGGCTCAGTGGTAGAGTGTGTGTTTAGCTTGCAGAAGGCTAAACACAGCTCCCAGAACCCCTGACCTCTTCCCTCACCTCTAAAAAGATGAACTTTCCCAGAGTTCTTTCATATTCCTTAAATTTTTTCATTTCATTTCTTTTATTTATGTAGTGTCTGTGAATATTGATGTGCCGTGTGATGTGCATGGGGAGGTCTACGCACACCTCATGGTGCTGCTTCTCTCTCCCAAGTGGGTCCTGGGGATTGAACTCAGGTCATTGGACATGACTGGGTAGCAGGCACCTTCACCCTCTGCGCATCTCACTGTCCTGATGACTTGTGTTTGTACCAACCGTTCTGTTCATGCTGCTTTACCATTTGTAGGAGGTAGAGCTTCCACTAAGACACTGGAAATGCTTCAGCAAAGAGTGAAACGTCAGGAAAACCTCCTTCAGCGCTGCAAGGAAACAATTCGGTCCCAGAAGGAGCAGTGCTCGCAACTAAGCAGCGAAAAGGAAGCCCTGCAGGAGCAATTGGATGAAAGGTTGCAGGAGCTGGAAAAGGTGAAGGTGAGAGACCACTGAGTTCTGTTCTGTGTAAATGTGTAAACCAGACCCACAGGCTCCAGCGTGGCCTGTGCCTCCTCCGGGGAGCCACCTTCACCCTCCTGCCCATAGACAGGGTGGAGAGGGCGTCCTTGTCTGAGCCCCAGGTGCCCTGGGTCTTACAGCACTTGGCATACTTTCCAGGCTCCTCTGTACTTCTCCCTACTGCACTGTAAGGCTTATCTAGATTAGATATGCTGCATAGAGTTCTCAAATGAGGCAAAGCTTTATTAGAGATGGAAATGAATTTCTAAAACTTTTTTAGGAGCTTCATATGGCTGAGAAGACTAAACTTATCACTCAGTTGCGTGATGCAAAGAACTTAATTGAACAGCTTGAACAAGATAAGGTAAAACTCCCAAATTTATGATACTGAGATTTGACAGGGGCCCCCATACTTGCTTTGAGAGCAATTAGAAGTATTTATATACACCTGCTTTTCAAAATTTTTGTAGATGCTTTCATTAAAAACTATTTTTAATTTCTAGATTTATATAGTTTTCCCATTAATAAACCTGATTCTCTGAATTCTTAATATCAGTCAGCATTCTGTCTTAAAGACAACAGTAATGGTTACGAAGGAAATCTATTTGTAGTACATACCCATTTTTCATAGAAAAATTATGAAAAGTTAATACATGCTGAATGTGAATGGTTTCAGTATTTTCTTTGACATTGTAGAAGTAGATTGACCATTTGGGTGAGTTGCCTTAAAAGTAGAGAAGTGATAATGTGTATATTAGCATGAAACTTTTACAGTGGGCTTCAGGATGCTCAGGTTGCTGGAGGACTGGGGAGGGGCTGAGCTCTCGGTAGGCACTTTGGAGTTAGAGCGGTAGCTAACACCTCACAGAGGTAGCTGGGAGAGTCACCGGCTTCATCCCAGGTTCTCTGCCCCTTTTGTAAAACATCTCCCTGTTCATGCCATCTATCGTTTTGTTTACTATGTTGGTTCATAACTACAGTATTTTAACCTAGCTTTGAAACAAAGTGTCTTCATTGCCCCACAAGTACAACCACCTAGCAGTTTAATAGTAGTTCATGATGCCATCTGCTATCCATTCACTTCTGATGTTTTATTATCTCACACATTTCTCTCTTTACAAATCAAGTAAATTCTTTTACTGTAACTGGTAAGATGCTTAAGATTTCTCTTCATTGTAGGTTTAGTTTTCCTTTCTCTCTGTTGTTTTCTTTCCTTTGGAGACAGTGAGGGCCCACTACCTCATTTTGAGTTTTCTTGACTGTACTTTGCTTCCCTGGTAGTTGACATTAACCTTGGCCATCTGGAGAGTCTACTCCACACACAGCAGGGTCAGCAGCCCTGCAGGTAAGGTCTGAGCACCTTTTCAGGAGACTAGCCAACCACCCAGATTGTTTGTCCCAATGACTGGTTTTGCACATGATGATTTGATTTCTGTCCACACATTGACTTTTATCTCTGTAGAGATTCTCCGCAGGGGGAAGAGAAGCCTCTAGCAAAGTGGAGGGATGGCGGGGCCTCCCTTGCAGTAGTTAGGGGTAGTGATGGAGCCAGAGGGAGTCACAGGAGAAAAGCGAACTAGGCCCAGCTGGGCTTTAGCCTTGTTCCACCCAGCTGTGGCAGCAACTGTCCTACATAGTGTTCCAGGCCTTTTCTCTTGGGCCTCAGCCAGCTCTCAAATCATGACACGGAGACTTCTTGTTAGGTATGACTGCTCGACCTAGCTTAGGCTCATTTCCTGCTAGCTCTTTTAACTTAAATTAAACTGTTTCTCTTTATCTACCTTTTGCCTCGGGGCTTTTTACTTTTCTTTCTGTATGCCTTACTTTCCTGCTTCCTCTAGTGTCTGTCTGTCTGTCTGGCAACCACTTGGTTTCTGGCCCTGGGTTTATCCCTCTTTTTCTCCCTCATTCTCTCTCTTCTCTCCTCCTGTTTCTTCACTCTGCCTACCAGCCCTGCCTGTCCCTCTTCTGCCTTGCTATTGGCCGTTCAGCTTTTATTAGACCAGTCCTGTGCCTTAGGCAGGCAAGGTGAAACAGATGCAACATAAACAAAAGTAATGTATCTTTCCCTAGTTAAAGTAATGTTCCATGACAACATAGTGTCTGGAATTCTTTGCTGTGAAACCACAGGTGTTAACTGCGGCTTATTCTGGCCCTGAGTTACATTCAGAGGCTAGTTTTGTTTATTACTGTTTATTAAGATGGGAATTACCGCACCGATAGCAGGATTGTAAAATAAATCTTGTAACTGAAACACTTACTGATAAATATTTTTGTATTGAAACACCCTGTCTGCTAAGGCACGGAGCAAAAGCAGACTTGAGCTTCTGAGCTACTGAAAAGATTCTCCCAGTGTCCTTAGTAAGAAATGCCTTCTCTGCCTCTCGCATCATTTGGGCTGTGTTGTGTATTGGTGATGCAGTGTTGTTCTGCAAATGCTTTAGAGTCTGCACTTCTGTCCAGGGAATGGTAATAACGGAGACGAAGCGGCAGATGCATGAGACCCTGGAACTGAAAGAAGAAGAAATCACTCAGCTTCGTAGTCGCATCAAACAAATGACTAGCCAAGGAGAGGAATTGCGGGAACAGAAAGAAAAGTCTGAAAGAGCTGGTAAGAACACAGGGCTTATATTTTATACCATCCCAAAAGTCACCAATGTTTTTAACAAACGAGTTAATTATTGATATAGCTGCTTAAGTGTAGCAACTCCTTATAACACAGTGAAGGGCTTGTAGAGAAGGAACGCCTCTATGGTTGGGTGATTTTTATATATATGTGTGTGTGTGTGTGTGTGTGTGTGTGTATGTATACTTCTGAATGTTAGAAGAAAATGTGATAGAGACCATATGTGAAGTATTAATTAATATCTATGCATTACAGAAAATGTTTGTTGACCTCTGCCTTAGAGTATTAAAATTCAGGCTTATGGAAGTTACATAGCATGGGACTTATTTAAAATAACTGCTTCTTTATAAATGATGTAGGGTAAACAGAAAGCATACGGTGTTTATCTGCTTCCATTGGTGTCAGCAGACAGTTCAGGGTTGCACATATTAGCTGAACAGAATACAGGCCAGAGTAGTGTCCATCACATTCAGTACTGAGCAGTGCTGAGAATGGGGAAGATGAGTAAGCAGGTCAGGAAGGACCTCAGTGAATGAGCAGAGTGGAACTAAAGAGAGGTGAGCTTCATCCTTGTCAGCCACTGTGAGATTGTGACCCGGCAGAGGAGCACATGGCATCAGCTGGAAACCATGTTTGCTGAAGAGGGAAAGGAACTTGAAGTTTGAAGGAGCTGGCTATTGGGATCTTAAAGGTGAGTGGCTGCGTTCCAGCCTCTGCGAGGACAATAGGAGCAGGCTAGGGGAACACTGTGATGGAAGCTCCTCTTGTGTCTGGGAAGGAAGTGAAGCTGGAAGCAGAGCCGGAAGTTCAGGTTTGAGGAAGAGAACACTGGCTGCCTAGGGCGGTGGTTCAGGGAGGAGAAAGGGGAGAGGAACAGAGGTTAGGATCACTCAGATGGTCCAACATTTTAATCTGAAGAGAACGCTGAATAATAAGGGTTCTAAATTGGGAAATTGGGGGTTGATTCCTAAAATGTTTGTTTAAAATATTTTGAATTTGAATTAGCCATGGGATTTACCAGTGGAATTGACTTGCAGGCATGTGGAGGTAAGAAACTGGAGCATCTTTGAAGAGTCATTAACTTAAGGTAGCAGCCTGGGGGTAAAGACTGTATAGTTACAATAGCTTTGGTGGTGAGGCTCCAAGCCACTGTAGTCTTCATTGCTGCTGTTTGTTTATACTTCTACGGTAGTGGTTACTTGTAATGGCAAGGTGTGTGTTAACACTACTGTGGCATTAGTAGTTTCATACAACAGTAAGGCTGTGCTTTATATGTTTTATATTCTTTATATTCTGTCAAACAATGCTATTATTATTCTCATTTTACAAATAGGAGAACCTAAGACTAATTTGTCTCCATTTATGCACAGAAAGTAAATGTGTAGTCAGGATTTTAACCTAAGCATATCTTGAAAGGTCTTGAGTTTGACTGATAGAAATAAATGAGAAGAAAGAAGTTATCCCGGGATGTCACAGGAACTGTGAGTAGTTAGGTTTTAGGGGAATTACGACGATAGATTTTTCATGAAGTGGGTGGGGAAGCGGATAAAGTTTTTAAAGGTCTTTGAATTTGATGGGGATTTGATTGAAATGGTCTTAGAAAACATTGTAAGGTACCAACAGGGAAATGGAGCCACATGGGAGAAATAATTGGTTAGTACCACCTGTGCTTGTAAATGCATCTCTGTCTCCTTTGTGTTGTTTTATGAAGTGATTTGGAGATTTAAGTTGATGATCTTATTCTCATTAAACCTAAGAATTTTTCTTGTCAGGGGTGTAAATAGCTCTTTGAAGAACATAAGGTTCTAAAACACAAGTGTTTTAAGATACAGTCAGACAGGCTTGCTTTCAGGGAACAGAAGCCTGTACGCAGCTGCAATGCATAGGAGCCCACATGTAGCCGTGCAGCCCATAGGAGCTGGTGTGCAGCCACATTGCATGGGAGTCCCTGTGCAGCCGCAGCTCCTGCCATCAGGCCTTCCTGCTCTAGAACTTGTTATTAACCACATAGCTAGTCAAGAAGAAATGATGACCAGGGATTGAGATTTTTCTGAAAATGAGTTATGCTTTGTGGTGAATATTAAGTTGAGGAAGAATAAATGAATAAATAAGCAGTTAATTAATATTACAATTCCCCAGGAAACTTTCAGTCAGATCTTAGTTGTACAATTTTCCTTCTTTGTTTCTCTTAAGATGTAATTTTCACAGCACATTGTAGGCAGGAGAGGTGGCTCAGTGGTTAAGAGTGTGTCCTGCTCCTGCAGAGGCCTGAGTTATGTTTCTAGGACTCATGTTGGGCAGCTCAGAACTGCTAATCCAGCTTCAGGGAGTCCTACTTGGGGGGGGGGTGCTAGAGATTGAACTGAGAGTCTTATGCAAGTCAGATTTATGTTCCACCACTAAGTAGTGGCCTCACTCTCAGAACTATGCTTTTGTAAATATTTTATACATTGAAAGATATGTCTGTTCATGTCAGTATCAGAAGAGTACAAATTAATAAATATTGAAGGAGAGAATAGAGATTTAACTTATTTAATAGGTCCATTAATTTTGGAAAGCATCTAGACAACATAGTTTACATGTTTCTGTTTGTAGTCCTAACTACTGAGTGCTGTGGTGGAAGTCTATAAGAAGACTGATTCCACTCTGAAGACACTACAAATTAAATCTATCATGAGAACTAGTTCTGTGTGCCACCTGCACCTCAGCCCATGGCCTTAGTTGAGAAGGACTGTCTAAATAAAAATTGGTCCTTGGTTTCCAGCATGAAGTACAGATGGTAATCAAAGGAAAACTCTAGATGAGTGCTGGACATGGGAACAGCCAGTGTCCAGTAGGCAGAACTTTCATGGACAGCTGTGAAAACCATTGGCTTTGTAGAGTTCAGTTGCTCTGCTAAGCACCCATCTTCTGTCTTTTGAGTGAAGTCCCTGGACATATAAAGGAAACAGTAACATCATTACAGCTGGCTGTTGGTGTTTTAGAATCAGATGTGTCCATATAAAATTGGTACCAAAGAAAAGAAACTATCCTGATGCAGTTTCCAGTGTAGTGCCCATTCTTTCTGGGCGTTAGCACTGACTGACTAAGGAGTGTTCTCCGTTGCTTCTCTTGCAGCATAGTTCATTGCACTGCTTCTTCTGTGTTTTTTATACACACTACTGCTACCATGTGCTATAGGATGAAGTTCTAGTCAGTCTCTGATTTATAAAGAAGAATTCTGTTTCAGATACTAAGGCATGAGCTAAGGACACACTGAGTGAATAAAGCACTTGCCACAGAAACCTGAGAAACATAGTTCAGACCCCCAGAATCCACACAGAAGCTAGGCATGCATGGCTGGGGCCTGTAACCCCAGTGTGCAAGAGACATGAGATCCCAGGGATAAGCTGTCTGGGGCTGTAGTCCCAGTGTGCAAGAGGTAAGCTGACTAGCTGGACTATGTAGGGGAAGATGTAGCCACGCCTGCTTAGGGGCTGGCTACAGGTGTGCCTGACCACGCCCTTGATGGCTCCGTATTGGTAATTTCCCACAATAGGGCTAGCTGCAATTAGCAAGCCCCAGACTCAGTGTTAAGACTCTGCCTTAATAAATAAAGTGAAGAGGAATTAAGGAACAACTGATGCCATCTTCAGACTTCAATACAAATGTGCACATGTTTACACACATAAACATGTGTGCCCAAATACATGAGCACACACGCACACACATACCACATATATGTGTGTAAAATTACTAAGACATGAGTGTAATGATGTTTTTCCACCAGGGCACTACAGTCTACTTGTAACACTTTAATGTCTCCTGGGAAGGCCAGGTGCAGTTCTGAAGTCTCAGGCTACAGCACTCTTGCTTTGTTCAAAATCAACAGGCCTGTTACAAGCACTGTGCAATAATGGTGATTTCAGACCTTTCTAGGTGTCACCTGAGATGACTCTATGGTGATTGGCATCCAGTAACCTGACTGATATTGTGGAGAAATGTAATTATTTAGTTTTAGACATATTGTCTTATTTATATGCTAGAAAATATTGAGAATTGTCTTGGAAAGTATATCCTTATCAATGTAGAACATTAATGTGACCAGCTTAACACTAGATCCTGAGAGAAGAGTGTGTGTGTGTGTGTGTGTGTGTGTGTGTGTGTGTGTAATAAGATAAGAGATAGGGGTAGATGGCTAATTATTAATGAAATATATTCTAGAAATAGTAAAAGTAGTGACAATGAAAGTACATCACTGTTTGAGTATACTTTAAATCCTTATGTAATCCATAGTTTTATGTTATATAATATCGTACATTGAACTTTCTATGTTTGTATGCTACCATTTAGCATAATATTGGGAATCCTTGTGTATATAGCTAAGGTTCTAACATGCTTGAATGGTTTTGGCATAGTGCATATATACATCATTTCCTTGGTAACCATTCCTCTGGTCATAACTAGTAGCTTATTTTTAAAATATCTTGAAAATACTGTAACAGTTCTATAATATAGATTAGTTTATATCTTTGATGATTTTTCTTCTTTCATGAATTTTTTACCCATGAAGCTTGTCTTTTTTGTTAGTTTCTGTTAGGTGATTCAAATATAGCTATTGCAAAAAAAAAGAAACCATAAACCATAGTAGCATTAACTCTCTGCTCCAGTAAAAGGAAATAAGATAGCTCATGTCGTGATGTGCTTGCCACGTAAGAATAGTGAGAAGTTCAGATTCCCTGCCCTGCAGAAGAAGCAGGCCTGGTGGTCTGCACTTGTTAATCAGTCCCAGTGCTGGGGAGATGGCAACAGGCAGATCTCTGGGGCTTGTCTGCCAACCACTTCAACCTGCTGGGTGGGCTCCTGGCCAGGGTTAGAGACCCTGTTTCAAAAAAGCAAGGCAGATGGTTTCTGAGGAATAAAACCTGAGATTGATCTCTGGCTTCTGCATGTATATGCAGAAGTGCTCTCTCTCTCTCTCTGTCTCTCTCTGTCTCTCTCTCTCT